AAGATTCATTAGCATGCGAAGCATAGCACGGTGAAATACCACGTTATGTGTATTGTCTTGTCGACCTGAAAAAGCTGCAATTCTGGAAAAGCTGTATTGTACCCTAAAGAATCATTGTCACGCAAAGCATAGCGTGGTGAAATACCACGTTATGTGTTTCTTCTTATCTATAAAAGCCTAGCGCATTTAGTTATTATTTGCATCAAGTAGAAAACACTTTCCATTAATTTTGCATTTGTCTTGCATTAAGAAATGTCTGGACGCAATGACGTACGTATTTGTTATTGTGGCAAACTTGCGATTTTGAAGCCATGTTGGTCAAATGGTAATGTGGGGCGCAGACGCTGGATATGTCATCAACTTGAAAGTTATTTTTTTGCAAAAAATATTTGTTAATATATTTTATATAACATGTTAATTAAAAGTGTTGTGTTATAATCCCTATTTGTAGGACGGAAATCAGTGTAGATTTGAATAATGGTATGATAAACCCATTTATCAGGAATACTACAAACATTGTTTGCAGTATGTTTGGAATATGACCGGTGAATACGAACTCCAGATCTTTAAACTACAACGACAACTTCAGGCAATGAAGGAGAAGCTAAAAGATGCGGAAGAAGAAAAAAATAGGTTGGAAGAGAAATTTAAGTGGTTGAAGCAGAGAATAATGGGCGATAATGACTAAACAAACACATGTATGTGTTGAGTGTAGTATTTTATCTTTATGTTTTCGTGTCATGTATTTTCATTACTTGTACCGAATTTAAATTATGTTAAGTTTCTATGTTTGTTTTTGAGTTGTAGTATTAAAATAACAAAGAACACGAGAAATAAAAACATAATGCGCATATAATGTAAACCATAAATAACATTGCTATTATTTACTGAATGTCATATGTACATAAAATCAAAAAAAATCAATGTGTCTCACAGCCTTTATGCTAAAGCAGCCTCTGGCCTGAGGCGCATCCCATCCCGCCCGGCTACACTACCAGGATCATCCTCATCACGCCGCCTCTTTATCAAAGGATACACTGCAGCATGATCGTCAGTAAGGCTGGCAGGCTCGGTAGAAAGGGCCTTTGGTCCAGCAGTAACCTATAGAATAATAAGATATTTTAGTATATGAAATATATATTAGTAATGTACGTGTTTTCTAAAAAAATTTAAAATGTTTTACCATGGTCTCAGCGGGATCCTGAATATAATCATCCATCTCAGGCATGTCAATGTCGCACAAAGTGGCCTCCGTGACGGGCGAGTATGATGGCTTAAAAAGAGGATTTTGATATTTATGACACATCAATGAGATAAAAACAAATATAAATATTAGTAATACAAACTAACCAAATCCTGTGAAAGATCCTCAGCATCCCTCGGTGATGAGCCATAACTCAGTCGGCGCCCATTATCCACATCTCGTACCGAACAATCATCAGCAAACGTCGATGGCTCTGGAGGGGTAGGAAAATACTCATCCCACTCATGTGAGGTAATGGCCATGCCCGTGATCAACAATGGAGCTGACGGGGTCACCTGTGAAGTCCCTGGAGTAAGCTGCAGGCTGAATGAGGGCATATCACTAGGAGCATGGTCTGGCTCAGGGTGCTCACCCGGCTGATCAGCTCTAACATCCTCAACAAGTGCCTCAACGCCCCCTTGCTGGGGACCACCTCCTCGCCGACCCCCACTACTTCGTGGGATACCCCTACCTCTTTGGGCACACCTGCCACGCCGACCATGTTCAGGCGCCACTGCTGGCCCACGCTAGTACTGCTCTCGCTCCACATAATCAGCCTCGTATCCTAAGCGCTCATCATCTCGGGCTCGCTGCAATGTCCGGGAAGCCAGATGTGTAACTTGCCGGCCATATTCGTGCAAAGCGGTCACTTCCTCGCCGGTATGCTACTGCATCTGCAGTCCCAATTAGTAGAATAGATGTAGCCCAATAGCCTGCACAACATGTAAAATATTAATTACGATACGCTAGGTTAACGTTATAAGTAAGTATACAAAATGACATACCAGTGCCTCATGCCTCCCGGCGTATGGAACGAACCGACCGTCAGCGCGATGAACGGGATTCCCGACAAAAAGTCGGGTAATGGTGCGATACCAGCCATATACTCATGCTCACCATCCGTACGCTCAGGTGGAGGGGTGGCGGAATCAAGTCATGCCCCTGGTCCCAAATCTCAATCTACGATTCTAGCCATGCCACATATGTCTAGTCAACCCTGGAACGATTATCCTGTTGGTAATGTGTCCTAATCCAAGCGGGCGGTGGAGGTACAAGCTGCAGTCGACTAAACTAGTGAAGGACTCGCTCGGTGGCATGATGCTGGACAATATCGAGACACATCAACGGGACGGAGCTCCACATAAGTCGGCCGGTCGAGCAATAATCAAGCAATCCTGCTATTAGCTTGTCGTTGTATGACCTCCAAATGAACTATTAAGTAAATACATGAACCGTAAGTATACGCAACACATATAAATCTAGGCCAAGTAAACTTATGTATACATTTACTTGCACGGCCTCCAGCAAATCCAACAAATCCCTGCAATATGGGAGCTGTATCCTCGTCTATCAACCCACCTCCTAGCTAAAGGGAGAAACGGTGGAGGTGGTGCACCAGGAGTGATGGGTGGTAGAGGTGGCTGTAACTGCAAGAACCGCTCCCATGCCCAAACCTAATACACAATTTGGACGTAAAAATTAAGGTATATTTTTACTATGTATGTTATAATCATAAAAGATTGACTATTTTTACATACAGCAGTGGCAAAAATCTAGCAACGTCTCTCTGGGTGCCCATGCTAGCCCGGCACATCTGCCTGTACAAGTAACCAAGAACAGTTGAACCCCAACTGTAAAGAGGTAAATCATCTAGCAGCTCAAGATGATGAAGAAATCTCAAGCTGACTAGGTTTCCCGAAGTGTTTGGGAACAATACCCCTCCAAACATAAGCAGCAGCAGCAACCTCGTATACCGACTAATATGAAGATCCAGTGTATCATCCGTAATGTCAGCATGCATCGCCTCCAGATGCTGCCGGACAGGCGTCAACTGCAGACGAGCCCTAACCAACGCACCCTCATCCGCTGGCTGGAAACTGGTGAGCCGCTGCAACATCTCTAGGTACTCCACTCCCCTATACTCTCTGATGGCATGCGGTAAAGCAACAGGATGTCCATCAACCTGCAGCCTATACAAAACCTCCACGTCCTGAAGCGTGATAGCGGCCTCGGAAATGGGTAAATGGAATGTGTGCATCTCCGGTCGTCACCGCTCTATCAAAGTCGTGATCAACGACCAATCCAGCTGCAGTCGACCGATCTCAACAATCCTATAGAAACTCGTATCCTGAAGCCGTCTGACTATACGGGGATGGAGATTGTGGGCCCTAAGAAAGTCCCTCATATCGTCTACTCTTCTAGCACGGAACGTCTGGGCCAACAACTGCCCCTCCCATATGTAGGAAGACCTATGCTCGGCATGTAGCAACAGTAGCTCTAGCGAGGCAGGTCCGGTATGCAAAATCGGAACCTCCATGACGACTACTGTAAATTGAAAAATATTAATTAATGTATTTTTCTTTTTCATTACTTAAATATATTGTAATACCATTAATATTAAAATGTATTCGATATTTTTACTATATTGTTAATTAGGTTAATACATTTTCAATATTATAATTTTATATTTTATATATTACTTTAATATTTTATATGTTAGTTTACTATTTTATATGTTTGTTTATTATTTAATATGTTTGTTTCTTATTATATATGTTAGTGATATTATTTTATATGTTAGTATGTTAATCACTTATTTTTTACTATAATAAAATTAAATAATTAATTTTCATAACTATAGAGGATTTAATTATTAAATATTTACATTTTGGTTCCGGACTCAATATTTGAGGCTCAGTAGCACCAAGGTATCCGAATTCTTGTGTTCATGATGAGAAAATTTCCCCGATTTATCACTCAACAGGGCTGTTATTTTATATGTTAGTTTATTATTTTATATGTTAGTTTATTATTTTATATGTTAATTTTAGTATTTTATATGTTTGTTTGTTACTCACTTATTTTTTACTATAATAAAATTAAATAATTAATTTTCATAACTATATAGGATTAATTATTAAATATTCATACAACAATACTTAGTTTGACAAATATTGTTGTTTTCTCATGTTATTTTATTACTTTTGTTGACTAGAATTGGAGAGAGTTTGTGTTTGAACTATCAGTTTTTTTGACGTATTTTTGAGGTTAAGAGATACTTAAATGATTAATTTGAATAACTACAAGGATACTACGCTGAAGGGCACTGCATTTTACTATGCTAAAAGGACTACATTACAAATACGAGCACTACATTAGGCCACAAGATACCACTACAGGGGATTAAACTAACAATTAATCTATTTTACTAGTCTTTTAGCAAATAAATAATCTAAAGCGGATAACAACAATAAATTAATTGAATCAAAAACAATCACGAAAACACATATACCGCAGTAAAAAGTAACTAATTGATATTTTTTTTAACAACTAATAACAATTTCTCTATTTTACTAATTTTTTTAGCACACTAAAACTACGGTCCGGATAAAAAACAAATTAGTTAAATCGCAAAACATTCACAAAATATCATAGAGCATATTAAAAATAACTAATATGCATTTTTTATACGAGTTTTAACAAAAACTAAGTCGGAATACCTCGATTTAAGGTTTTTGGAAAGTTGAAAATTTGGTGATTTGGAGCCGAACGAGCAACCCAGTACGAGATAACGCCTTAGCTAAGACCCGCTCTTTTCAAGTTCAACTATAGCGCCTTTTAAAGGGGCCTATACTTAAGTGGACAAACGATCGTTAAGGTATAACTTCCTTTAAGAAGGCATTATATATAAAATGATCACCAATTATTTTTCAAGCATTTTAATTCTTTGAGTCCAAAACCATATTTTGATTCCGAACTCGTCCCAACTATCCCAACATGAGGTTTGATGAGTCAGAAGACTCAGAACTGATGATGAGTACTTAACATTTTTTTTTACTGTGCTTTTGAGGCCGACTCTACCCTCCCTCTTTTGTGTACTTCTCAGAAGCTTCTCTTCTCTTCTTTTTCTTCTCTCACACACACACAGTGTCTCTGCAAGTTTCAATGGAGACTGAAATGTTCAACAAGATTCCATCATCACACCCTGAATATCCTGAGGTAAAACCATTACTTCAAATTCCCTTTCTACCCTTATCAACCACTTCCACCCTCCTTTTCCATTTTTGCTTGTTTTACATTTTTGAGCTCAAAATCACCCTCTACTGCTCTATTTTTCCTCAAAATTTGATCTTTTTTTCACTTATTTCAGATGGGTTTTCTTAGTTTAGTAGAAAGATTCAAGCTTTGGAAGTACTTGTTTTTTTGTAAAGATAGTTCTTTAACTTTCATTTCCCTTTTTTTGCACCATTTTTGGTTCAAATTATCCTCCAAATTTTTTTCTGTTCTCAAACTTTGATTCTCTTTTACTTATTTCAGATGGGTTTTCTTAGTTATAGTAGAAAAATTCAACTTTTGGAAGTACTTGGATTTTTTTAAAAGGAGTTCTTTTTAACCCTCCTTTCACTTTTTTGCACCAGTTTTAGTTCAGATCATCCTCTATTTTTCTATCTTTTCTCAAATTTTTGTCTCTTTGCACATATTTCAGATGGGTTTTTCTTAGTTACAAAAAAAAAAAAATTAAAAAAAAATCAAGATTTCAAAGCCCTTGGAAAATTAATTCTTTTTATGCCACCCTCATTGTGATGGAAAATATGAAAAATTCTAGCTTTTATAAAGCCACTAATTATGGGAAATTATTTTTTTCTCTAATTTTCCTTCAAAATTTCAGATTTTTTCACATTGTTAATTTTCTGCTTGTTAGTATTGAAACTGTTATTCTGCTAATAAATCACCAAACACAAATAAAAAAAGAAAAAAAAATTAAAGGAGTAGTAGTTTAAAGAGTAGACATAAGTTACTTTAGTCTAGCACCTTTTTCCCTTTTTGTGCTTCAATAGTTCCTACTTTAGCACATGATGGCCAACCAAACTTTTTATTTACAGATCTATTTTTTCTTTGTTCATTTTCCTGGCCTAGTTGTTAATATTTACTTGTTTTTATTTTTAGAGACGAGGGTCTTGTGTAAACAGCTTCCCTACCTAGTAGGGGTAAGCTCTGCGTACACATTACCCTCTCCAGATCCCACTTGTAGAATTACACTAGGTTGTTGTTTTTGTTTATGTTTTCTTTGTTCTTGAAATAAAAAAATCTTTGGAACTCAATTATTTAATTTTTATTTAATTATGATTATCAGATGATTTATGAAGCCCTTGAGTCACTAAATCAAGAAGGAGGCTCAAACAAGTCATCAATATCAAAGTACATTGAATCCAAATATGGAAACTTAGATCAAGGCCATTCAAAATTACTCACTTTCTATTTAGACAAAATGAAGCAAAATGGTGAGTTAGTTTTCCTCAAAAACAATTACATTAAACCTGGTCCAGATGTTCCACCTAAACGTGGCAGAGGAAGACCAAGAAAAGATCCAAATGCACCACCTATTCCTAAAAAACCAAAGCCAACAGCAGCTTCTAATGCACCACCACCTCTTCTTTCTAAAACAGGAAGGCCAAGAGGTAGGCCTAGGAAAATTAAACCACAAAATGGTGTTGAGGGAAGCTGAAAAATTGAAGGGGTTATTTGACTTTTTAGGACTTTGTTGTGTTTTTTATAATCTTATTAGGTAAATTAGTGTTGTTAATTCTCTTGTATGATTGGTACATGAGTGTTGTGTGGTTGTTGTAGTTGTGCATGTAGTTTGGAAGAGGGTGGGGGTGGGGTCTGTGTGTGTGGGGAGGGGGGGGGGGTTGTACTTGTTTAGTGGCTCTTTCAAGATTTACAGTAGGGAGATCTGTAATCCTTGTTAAGTTGTTATTTTTATGTGAGATTAGTGCAGTTTTCACTCTGTTGTCTATATGTTTAAGTGGCATGCATTTTCTTTGCAAATTGTTCCTTTATGATTGATATTGAAATATATCATTCTTGAATCTTGATTCCAATATGAGCATGAGATGGGATAGGGTATGCGTATATATTACCCTCTCCGACACCACTCGTGAGATTCCGTTGCGGACCACCTTGCAAGGCTAAATAGTCCTGGGTGATCGGTAGCGAAGTAGTAGTACCTTGAGGGAAGGATACTTACGATTTTGATAGACATACCGGTGATTCAGAGAAGATCTATCGAAAAGTATTTAGTACACATTTCGGTGGCCACTTGGTTTGTTGTTGAAGGGTTGTTTTTTTTTTTTTTTGGAGAAAAGGATAATTTCATTAATAAAGGTTACGGTGGTATTATATTACTATTAGTAATAGTAGGAATAATACTTAGGTTTCCAAACGTTGCTAGTTTGTTACATATGGAGCTTGATACTAGTCTAGTAGTAGATATTGCATTCTTGTCTTTTTGGATCATCCTCTTGACTGGGTCTGGTGGGGAGTTCAAAATAGTTGTAGTAGAGGTTGGTTGTTGTTGTTTGGAACCCAATTTACTCAAAACGTGTGCCACCTTGTTGCCTTCGCGGAAGTTATGCCGGACCATTGGATTCCCCAATTTCTTCAACAAGTACCTGCATTCAAAGATAGTGTTAGTATATGCAGGAAAGCTATTATGTTCAAGTAGTTGGATTATGTCCGTCGAATCAGTATCAATCTCCAGTGGGGAGCCCTTTGTCATTAGCCAGCTTAAGCCCTGTATGAAGTGCTAGTAATTCTGCATGGGTAGAGTTATAGGCTTTGATTTTGTGAGCAAAGCCTACAATCATGTCCCCTTCACTATTTCTTATAATGCCCCCAATGCCTCCAGTCTTATGGTTACCCAAGGAAGCATTTATGTTTAATTTATAAGTTTGGGGTGGTGGTGGATACCATTTAATGTGAATAGGAATTTTGTGCGTGGTGCTTTGTATTTAGACGCTAGTAGTTTAAATTCAATGCCCCGTGTGTCAACCATTTGGTAGTTTAGTGTTTTGGAGAGGTTGTGGAAGCAGTTATTGTTTCTATTTAACCAGAGGTGTCAAATTGCAAATGGGAATACATCCTCCCAAGTTATGTGGTTGTGTGTAACAGTTATTGGGAGACCTTTAATTGATAACTGCCAATGTTTGCTATTTGGGATAGCATTAATGTCGATGCCCCTATTGTCCCAGAATGTGTGTGCCACTGTGCACTCAAGGAAAATGTGGGTTATGGTTTCTTCTGCCACCCTACAAACCGTGCAAACATTATCGTTTGAAACTCCAACTTGATGAAGGTAAGATTTAGTAGGTAGGCTACTTTTTAAAGCATTGCCAGAGGAAAAATTTAATTTTGTTAAGGGTATGGAGCTTCCAAATCCAATCATAGTCAGTGCTAGTTTGGATGTGGTGAAGTAATGTGTAGACTGAATAAGTTGAGAAGGTGCCATTTGTGTTGAGCGACCAAATGGGTGTGTCTATGGCTAGGGGGTTTGGTGAGAGGGAGATGGAGGAGATATCATTTTTAATATTGTTGGGGAGCTCAAAGGAGATTTATGACTAGTTTCACTGGTCATTTCTCCAAACCTGGTCAAGGGTTAAGTTGCTATCATTCTTGTTAAGAGGACCATGAATGGAAGAGCGGATGTTTGTGTTGTTAGGGGTCCAGCAACCAAAGTAGAAGTTTATGGATTTGCCATTGCCAACATCCCAAGCGACTCCTTTGGCAATGGTTTTCCATCCTCTCAAAACGTTTTGCCAAATGAAGGAGGTGTTTTTAGCATTAGTTTTAGGACTGTATTTTTGAATTAGAGTGTTTGCCCACATTGTTGACGGATAGATGAATAGTCTCCATGCTAATCCTGCTAGTATGGCTTGGTTTAGTGGGTTGCCTTAGGTATCCCTAGACCTCCCATTTTTTTAGGAAGGATTACAACATCCCATGAGATGTAGTGGATCCTTTTTTTATGCGGAGTTGTGCCCCAAATAAAGTCACGCTGGATTTTTTCAATTTGATGTAGGATCTTCTTTGGGTGAGATATGTATTGCATATTATGATTAGGAATGGCATTGAGGGCAGCCTTTACTAGGGTTGTGCGGCCCGCAAGAGTTAAGAAATTCGTTTTCCAATTTGAAAGTTTGTTCCGCATATTGTCAATTACAAATTGGAAGTCGGAATGTTTAGGTTTGTTATTGGTTATAGGGAAGCCCAAATACTTGCCAAATTGAGTTGTCGGATTGATGTTAAATAAGTCAATTGTATAATCTTTGATGGCAATTGAGCAGTTACTTGAAAAAAGGATTTTGGATTTGGTGTTATTTATTTTCTGACCAGATAGCGAACAAAAGGTTGCTAAGGAGTGGTGAATGGTATTTATGGTTTTCACATTGGCTTGTGCCATGAATGTCAAGTCATCTGCATAAAATAGGTGTGACAGATAAGGTCCTTTTGTCCCAATTCTAATGGGTCCCACAAAGTTAGATCGACTTGGTGGTTGATGTATACAGACAGCAATTCCATGCATAATATGAACAAACAAGGAGATAGAGGATCCCCTTGTTTGATACCCCTCGCGGGTTCAAAGAAATTTGTTTGTGCACCACTTACCAAGATTGCTATCTTGCTTGTGGAGATGTAGTTCATGATTAGGGTGGTGATCTTTGATGGGAACTTAAAGAAGGTTAAGGTCTTGTAGACAAAAGACCATTCTAACCTATCAAAAATATTTTCTAGATCAATTTTAATTATCAGTTGCTCATTCACCCGTTTCCTTTTTTTTTTAAATGGTTTACAACTTCTTGTATAATAATAGCATTATCACATGCCCTCCTCCCCTTTAGGAAGCCAGCTTGGCATGGGCTGATGAGTTCAGTTAGAAAAGGCTTGATGCGGTTAACAATTATTTTGGTGATTATTTTATAAGTGGTATTGCAGAGTCCTATTGGTCGGAAATGATTGAGGTTATTTGCATGCTTAAATTTAGGGATGAGACATAATAAGGTGCAATTCATTTTCTCAGAAATTTTGGATCTAGAAAATATTTCTTTACATAGTCAAATAATAGAGAAGCCCACAATATTCCAATGTCTTTGGTAGATAATAGGGTGTTACCATCAAGACCCGGGGCCTTGTATGGCTTAAAAGAATGTACAGCAGAAATAATTTCTTGGGTGTCCAATGGCCTATCCAGTGGGGAGAGGTCAATATTGGCAAAATTGGCGTGATTACTTTAATAGTATTCCACTCTGATAGAGTATTATTGGTTGTGAATACATTTTGAAAATATTGGTGAGCGTGCTCGATGATTTTCTGACGTTCCGTTATCCAATTCCCAACGTTATCTTTAAAGAGTGAAAAACGGTTACGCCTACGCCTATTAAGGACAGAAATGTGAAAAAAATTTGTATTGGCATCGCCCTCATTTAGCCAATTAAGACGAGATCTAATCTTCCAGTGATCCTCCTCCTGGCATAGAGTATTATTATAATCAGTGATTGAAGTTTGTTCCAAGTTTCTAAGGAATGTGCTAATAGTATAACTTGGTGAGTTTTGGATCCCCCTAATTCTGGCCAGTATCCTTTTCTTATTAGCGAAAATATTTCCAAAATTTTGGGCACTCCATTCTTTAATGTTAGTCTGGAAACATCTTTCTGCATCACTGAAATTCCTATTATCCCAACTTTGTTCAACCACTTTACTAAACTCTGGGCGGCTTAGCCAATATTTTTCGAGTCTAAAGGGTTTGATAGAATTAGTCGAGATTGGATTTGTTAGCCTGATTAAGAGCGGATTATGGTCGGAGTAGGTTTTTGGGAGGTGAGTTACCATTACTGAGGGGTACAGCTCTAGCCAGGTTTCATTAGCAAGGCATCGATCTAGTCTTTCTAATATGAGACCATGCGTCCTATTTCTATGGTTAGAACACGTGTAACGACAACCTTTGAGATCAATTAAGTTACAGTAGTTAATACACGACCAAAATCTAAAGGTCCTATTCCTACTAATATTCCTTCCTCCTCATTTTTCATCTTGAGTCAGGACATTTGAGTCCAAAATGTTTTGTGCATTTATAGTGAAATGCATGATAAATTTGACCTTTAAAACAATAATTAGAGCTGAAACTTGATCTGAGGGGGAAAGAAAAAAGTAATCCCTACATTCCAATTTCTGTGACAAAGTTTAATAGGTACATAGTTTTTTTTTAAAAAAAACTTTAGACATTTATAGTAATAACTATGCCCATAACATTTACTATATGATTATAACATTTTTGAAATTTGTGGTTTGAGCATTTCACAATATTTGTGAGATTATAAAATTTCTCATTAAGAGGAAATTTTAAAAACATTAATGGACCAAAAAAGAAATGTTGCCATGTAAACATAATGGTGACTGCTAAAGTGAGTCTATGTGCTGGAGCTTAAGGTGAAAGGCACAAAATTTGGATAAGGGTATAATGAGGTGAAAGTAGAGTGGATTTTGACAAATTTTGTTAAAAAATTTTATATTGTGCCTCACACAACTAACACTAGTTGTGTGAGGCCTTTTTTTGTCTCATAATTATGTGGGTCCCAAAATTTTGTGAATCCAAATGTGTAAGATATGGGTCCACAAATATGTGAGATAAAAAGATGCCTCACGCAACTATTATAAGTTTGTGTGAGACACAAAATAAAATTACTCAATTTTCTTGGACAAGAACATCATGTGTACAAACTAGATAGTCTATGTCTGGGGACATAATCATTCCTCTTATCTTTAAAATTCCTATACACATTTCTTTGTCGAATTAACTTAGCAAGTGTCCTACTT